TTCACAGAATACGTCTGGCTGTGAATCGTGACTCTTGCCGTGCAGGTTCCAGTCGGTGTTATAAGGTGGCCCCCTGCTGTTCGGATATCCGGTCCTTCCCATGCAGTCTTTACCTTCTTGAGCTTAGCGGCGAAGAGACCACTGATGATAGAGTAGTCGGCGCCGGTATCGACTAGGGCGGTGACGCTGTGGCCGTCGATGATCACGTCGAGGTCGGTGGTTCGTCGTCTGGCGTTCCGGTTAGGTCGGGGCGTCGGATCACGGCTGCGTCGGCTTGGTCCGGTGCTGCTATGTCGCGTCGGCGGCGAGGCTTTGTCGTAAATACTCTGCTCAGGCGGCGTACTGCGACTACGTCGGGAAAGTTCGTGCGTCGTGGTCGTCGTCATCGGCAGCGGCGGCGGCGGCGGAGGAGGATCTTCGGCATTGCGTCGTGCAGCAACCGCACCTCCATCGGTTGCTGCCTTTAGTTTCCCGGGTAGGGGCTTGGGGATCGGCCCCGGTTAGGGCCGGTGTACTGGCGGCGATCCGGGGAGACGTAGCGGCCAGGCGAAGGTGAACGGGATGGTCGTCGTTGTTGCCACTGCGATCCGGCGATGTAGTCAGCGATGTCGCGAGGTCGCTCACCTGGGCGCGGACGCGGCGCGTTCACGTCGAAGCCACGCAGTCCCATCTCACGGTACTGGCAGTAGCGGTAGGTGTGCCCGGCTTCGCCGCAGTGGTAGCATAGTGGGCGGTGGTTCGGGGTGCGCCAAACGTCAGTTTTCCTCGGCGAGCGCTGGATTACTGGCGAGCGGGAAGGCGTCGGGGGTGGCGGCGGTGGCTGGCGACGAAACTGCGGAGACGTTGGGTCCTGGTGTTGGCGAGGAGCGGCGACAGGTCGTCGTGCAGTAGCGGCGTAGGTCATCGCCTCCGGTTGGGGCTGTGGCCGTTCAGGAACGCTCAGTGAGCGCTGTAGTTCCTCGCGGACTACGTCTTCGAGAGAGGCGACTTGGGGCTGAGATGATGGCAACATGCGGCGCAGTTCTTCACGAACAATAGCGCGTATGGTCTCGCGCAGGTCGTCGGGGCAGAGTCCTCGGACTTCTGCGACGTCTGGCGACATGCGCCGATCGTATTGGCTGGTCCGCATTTCAAGAGTCTTCTCGATGGTGGTAGCCTCGGAGAGGAACTCTTGTACCGTCTTTGGCGGGGTTCTGATCAGTCCGGCGAAGAGCTCCTGCTTCACTCCTCGCATAAGCAGGCGAACCTTCTTGTCCTCAGACATGTCGGCGTCGGCGTGGCGGAAAAGTCGCGTCATCTCCTCCGTAAAGATCGTTACGTTTTCGTTGGGGAGCTGCACCCGAGTTTCAAGCAGTGCTGCGGCTCTTTCCTTTCGCACGACGCTTGCAAAGGTGCGCAGGAAAGCAACGCGGAAGTCGTCCCAGGTTCGAAGCGTTGACTCGCGGTTCTCGAACCAAGTCCTTGCGGCGTCTTCCAGGTAAAAATACACATGACGCAGCTTGTCGTCCGGGTCCCACTTATTGAGGGCTGCGACGCGGTCGTAAATGTCAAGCCAGCTTTCCGGGTCTTCGTAGGTCGATCCGCGGAAGGTAGGCGGCTCTTTGGGCTGGTTGACGACCACGGTTGCCGAAGACCTTGCTTCCGTCATCGTGGATGCCGGCTTCGTAGCAGCCTTTGTTTTCTTGTCCTTGTCGAGGAGCGGCAGGTATTCGGGCGGTAGTCCTTGTTGTCTTCGGCTCACTCGAACGACCGGGTCGGCGTCGTCCTCTTGCCGGCTTGGGCTTGGCTCACGGCTGGACGGGGGCGTACGGTACATGGACCGAGAAGCACCTCCACCAGATGTCACGAGGTTGTGATACACGCAGCACTTGAGAGGAAGCACGCAGGAGTCAGGGCGGTGTCAGGCGAACTGTTTATTGGGCGAACTTGTGCCCAGCAAAACGGGGCCAAACACAACTCATAGCAACAGCGGAGTGAACAGTCGTCGGCCGACGGAAAAAAAAAAAAAGACCCCCAGTGGCGCACTGCGCCGGCTTTTTATACACGCGTCGTAACGCGTTCCAAAGTGGCATACAAGATAAACGCGGCCTGCGTTGCGCTTAACAGAAAGTGATAGCGTCTTCCTTCGCAAACGAAAAGAACCGCACGTGTCAGTTTTTTATGCACGCGTCGTAACGCGTTCCAGAGTGGCATAAAAGATAAATGCGGCCTGCGTTGCGCTTAACAGAAAGTGATAGCGTCTTCCTTCGTAAACCAAAAGAACCGCACGTGTCAATATAATGAGATCTAACAGGCAGTAATGCCAAGGAATGTACAGGGGAAGTTATTAGAACCAATGGAATGTAAATAAGAAAGAAAAGTGGGTGAAAAAATAACCAGCCGCTCGCCGTGAGCCTGCTCACGGCTGGTTATTTTTTCACCCACTTTTTTTTCTTATTTACATTCCATTGGTTCTAATAACTTCCCGTGTACATTCCTTGGCATTACTGTCTGTTAGATCTCATTATTATTGTGTCAAAACACGGAAAAACGAGCCCTTAGGTATACACTTCTTTTTTTATATAATATATATATATATATATGTGAGTGTGTGTAGAAAAATCCATGGAAACTTTTTTGTCAACTGGATGTAGCAAGTTACTGTTGTTTGGGTGCCTTGTCAGAGAGCAGTGGAGGGAGGGTTGCGCTTTTCCAGAATGACGCCAATATCTGAAATTGGCAGTGAAGTGGGTTGGGGGGGGGGCACTTATACAAAGTGGTGGCGCCTGCTTGGAATTTTACGGTATATAAAAACGAGAAAGAAAAATAATTGAGACAGTTTTCTGATGCGCTGAATTGAACAAACGGCTCCACAGCGCCCAATGTTAACCATTTGACCACCAAAATACATGTCCTCAAGCATGCTATTGGCAAGCTTGTTAGTGTATTTACTGCTAGTTCAGCAGTCTCGAGGCAATTTCAGTGTGCTCTCTGCATTACCAGCAAGAGGGCGTGAAAGGCGTGCTTGACACACCGCTCTATGCGAGTTGTGCACTCGTCAATGTCCACTTTCTGCGAATATGGGGCATATTCGAATGTGCTTGCGCACTTATTTTGCGATGATGGCAGTTTGTACATTGTGTGCTTGCATCAAAAAGGTTGTGTTGAAGTTACAGAGCTCACCGAAGCCACTTAACTCACTGCAGAGATCCCATATGCAAAAGGAGCATGCTGTTCAAACACAATCAGACCTGTGGCGCTTCTTAATTTGTGATTGTCATGTGTATACCTGAGCATACTTTTTGTGCATCCTTTGTGTTTAGGCAGCGGATTGAGCTGCCCCAGCGTTTGGTGTGTAGCGACACCATGGCCCCGAGCTAACGATGGGGGGGTTTCGACTCCCTCCCACGCCTAGCCGTGCATGGCTTTGCCGTGTCTGGGGAAAAGGGGATCTTGGGGGTTGAGCCGACGCGGGGAGATTGGATCTTTAAGGGCCCTTGGCAGACGTAACACACCCCTTTGGCCCCAGCTTCATGTAGACAGCGCCCGTGGGCTGACCCACTCAGGGGAAATCGGCAGTCCCTTTTTCCTGTCTCTCTTTCTCTACATCTTCGTCTTTATCTTTCACTTTTGTCTGTCCTGTCTACTTCTCTCTTCTGTTTAGTTCCGGTTCATTCTGGTGGCAAGAGTTAACCTTGTGTGTTCACCCCACCTTGGGATGCATCATATCAGGTTATAGTGGCGGTGTACAGCTGGCGTATGCAATCAATTTCTTCATGGTTTGCAGCGTCCCTTTGTTGAGCTCGGTGGTGGATGGCTGCCACCGCCACTGAACACACTCCATATTTTATGGCCAAAATATTTCTATCTTCTTTTGATTGCTCCCTGAAGAGGGCGTGCACCGAAGAAAGCTTTCAATAATTCTAACTAAACAAAAATAACTTTTCACGCTACCACGTTATCCACAGTGACACACCAGCAAAACCTGTCAGAAAACTTTCACCGTTCCAAGTTTCAAGGTGCCGAATAGGCACATTTGGAACAGGTTACAAAGCAACAAAATGGCCAGTGGTGACTTCCTCATTAAAGTCCGAGACAAGGAACAGTATGATAAACTATCCAGTTTGAAGACTTTTGGTGATGTGTGCTGTTTCGGCGCACCGTTCAATCAACACTGTTCGAGGAGTCGACCTAGAGTACTTGACAGATGCTGAACTTCTTGACGGCTGGAAAGATGATGATGTGATTAATGTACAGAGAATCAAGATGAAGCGAAATGGCAAAGAGACTCCAACAAAACATATAATCATTACCTTTGGCTCCAGCACCCTTCCCGAAACACTTGCAACTAGGTACACAAAGCTTTGTGTTCGACCATACATACCTAACCTCTGACACTGCTTTGAATGTCAATAATAAAAGTGTTAAAAAGACCGAACAATGTTCAAAGTACATGTTTAATTCAAATAGCAAAGAAGTAATCATATTAGTTAACTTGATATCGCTAAAATTTTCACAAACTGACTCCAGCGGGGCATGCGCCCTTCTGAGCTGCTCAGTGTCGGTGCTCCCCTAAAGTGGGGCTGTGTCATTACTTGACTACATTTGATGTAGAGAAGAACCCGACAGAAGTTGATAAAGCGCAGTAGCGCACATGTTGCACAAGTGTATTTGCCTAGCAAGGTTATACTCATGCCCTATCTGGTTATGTCAAACATTATTGATGCTTTGGTAAAGGGAGTAGTGCGAACACAAGCCGCTAGATATAGTAGTGGAGCTGCCGCATAGGCTGGCACATTGCTGCATAATTGGATAACATGACGATTTTTCTTTGCCACACCTGGCACAAGCACCACGTGTGCTTAGTTTACATTATCATTGTAACATTATCATGCACGTTAAGGAGCAGTTACCCATTCTGGTTTTGACAAAATGTTTACCTTAATGGGTTTCCATGCCAACAGATTGTGTTGTGCCTTCTAAATTTCCTTGGCAAGTGATTCTCCTTAGTGGCTTGACAGGTGATCGGGATGTTTGTGAACCAGCTGTTCTTGGGGCATGCCTTCACCACCATGCTGGTGTATATTTGGAGCCGGAGGAACCCATACTTCCGGCTTAACTTTTTCGGGCTCATTAACTTCCAGGCACCGTACCTGCCATGGGTGCTGCTGGGATTCTCACTCATTCTGGGGAACTCTGTGATTGTGGACATTGTAGGTAAGTGTACACAACCCACATAGCAGATGCTGCCACATATTGTGGGCTCTGCTTACTCTATAGTTCATGCTGAAGGGCAGTGTTTATTTGGAACATTTTCAGCATGAAAATGGCTAATAGATATCCTATTAGAAATGTCAAACATAAGAATCATGTGGTTCTGTGTCTCTTAATGATGCATTGGTTCCTCAGCACCTCACATTTTTTTAATGATGATGGGGATGAAAATCGTCAGCCTGACTACACCCTCTGCAGGGCAAAGGCCTTGCCCATGTTTCTACAATGAACTTGATGCTATTCTTTCTGTGGCCGTATTAACCCTGCAAACTCAGCTGCCCGCCTATCTGCCTACCCTTCGTGAGCTTGTCTTCTCTTGAAGTGCACCGTATTAACACTGTCAATAAGTTGATAGAGAAATGCATATGAAGTAAGCAGTCTTTATGATTAGCCTTCAGTGATATGTGACAGTGTTTGAGTTGTTTGATGGCGATAAAAGGCAAAAAATTCCGCCATATCCACGAAGTGAATGATGATGAGTGGGCGAAGCTCCGGAGGTAAACCTGGTAAACCATGAATCCTCTGTACATTTTGCCCACTCGATTTTATTACATCGCTCCCCCTAGCGTACGTCGCCGCACTAAATCGAACGATTGCCTTCAACCAATGACACGCGCCATATGTGACATCATTCCTATTTTATAAGATCTCGCGTCTTTCATCAACTACAAGTACCGCTTTCTAGTTTATAGCATCTTGCATCTTTTCATCATCAGCTACAAGTACCACCATCTAGTAAACACTACAAGAACTAAACGAGAGGTGGCTACATACAGGAGACGGTACCGCCATCTAGTGAACACTGCAAGAACTAAACTAGAGGTGGCTACATACAGGGGATGGTACCGCCATCTAGTGAACACTGCAAGAACTAAACTAGAGGTGGCTACATACAGGCTACAGGGGACGCACAGCCCACGCCCTAAGGAGCTTCGCCCCTAAAATGTTTTTGGATTCGACATCAACTATAGTTAAGATGAGCGTGCTCCGTTTTGTGTGGAGCACATCAACAGATTACACCTCAATCACTGCACTCACCCTGCATTCTGACCATGAGCTCCTGGACTATGATGTTGAATAGACAAACGTTTAGACAAAGCAAACTCTTGAGAGTAATTGGTTCCAGTGAATTGTGGGGAGCTTATATTGGTATGCTGTTCTTTATTATTGTAGACCTGAGGCATAAATTTCAAATGATTTTTTAGGACAAATAGATTGTTTAAGTGAGGACATCAAAGTGATTTAATATAGAAGTGAACTGCCTGAAGTGCACAGCAGGATGTCTCAATTGATTACAGTAACCCATTCTTGGGACATCTCTTTTTTGAGTAGAGGCCGGATTTTTAAGCATTAAAATACCATGTTTGAGGCACCAAAAGTTGGCAGGCAAAATTAAGTTTTATGTGCCCAAAATGGGTTGGCAAAACATTTTATGTCGCCAATGTCGTAAATGTACGCCCAATAGTTTTTTATGCAACTTCAAATATTTCATAACCAGCACGTGCAGAACCTGTGTCTACGACAGAAAAGCAAGAAAATTTGTTTATGATTGTGCAAAGGTGCTAATATTTGAACATAACTATGACATTGTCATTTTTCCCTCATGGTCCACAATACAGTCTCCACTTTTATTCTGTGTGAGGTGAGTCAACTGTCCCTTGGGGAATCAACACACTCCAGGGTCCTTTTGTTTTAGGCATGGCTGAGAAGGACAGTGCAGGAGCAGATAGTCACACCGCTAAAAGACCTGAAGGTAGTGATGCCTTGTATTGTCCCAGTTTAATTGTGTAGGGCCGGTTTTTCCCCTGTCAGCAAATACCTTCAAAAGTGAAAGGACATAAGAAAAGCGACATGGACGTCACATTTTTGACAGCAAGGCAGTTAGCAAAAGCAAAAGCGTAATCATTAACCTGCACGCGCTCTCTCCATTCTTTTTACAGTGAAGTTGTTTAAGGTATCAGCAAGTTGTGCTTGTGAATCACAGGAACTATGAAAGCATTTTGGTGTTTCACCGGTGCAAATGTCAAATAAAAATCAACACTTGAAAAAGAGTATAATAGAAAGATTGAGAGAAAAATAGAATTAAAGGCCTGCGCCCCTTTGTGGGTCAGGGCTGGGCAGTATCGAAGATACATGTATCTGAGGTACTGTCTTAGATACTCTTTGCGGATCTTGTATCTGTATCACGATACATCTTGCAAGACAAATATCTGTGTCTGTATTTCCGTTACATTCGATAATGTATCGTGTATCTTGAGATACAAGATACTGCAGTCGCATTGCAACACTAGCGAAACATTAATCGCTCATTGGCTCCATTCCTCAAGTTGGTTCTGGTGCCACTAAGCCACATTAATAAGACTAAGAACAGTGCCATATTTTTTTTATATGCATCAGACTCCGTCAGTCAGGGCAGGCAATGAGGTGCGCGCGACCCTTTCGAGAAGCAGAGCGACACGACAGAGCTCGCGCAGTCTCGACAGAAACTACGTTCGCGTGCTTGCCCATGTGTCTTTTGTTTTCTAGATCTCTTTTCTTTTTAGTTTTGTCAGAGCCATGACGCTTACCCTTAGCCACTTGCAAGCGCCGCACACCACAATGTATGTGTTGATGGCTGCGCAAATTCTGATGCTGCTCTCAAGATGTACCATACAGGTGGCACTCCTAATTGCTAAGGTTTAATTAAGAGTGCTAATTAGTAGTTACCAGCATGCCACCTGTAGATGAGATGTGCAATATAAGTAGAACGTATTGCTATGGTTTAATTAGGAGTGCTAATTAGTTGGCATTATAATGCAACCTGTATTGTGCATCTCAACAGATTCACCACAAGTGCTTGAAACAGAACAGCTTTTCTATTTTAGTTATAAATGTTTCTCTTTTTTAGTCCTCCCCTTTTTTCAACTATTATTAATTGCCAGGGAATCTTAGCTATAGCTGGCAATAGCTACACTGCCACGCACTTTTATTTTTAAATTTTATTTTTAGTTTCGTGTGATCAAGTCTAAAACTTATGACCGCTTGATGCAAGCCACCTTCAATATTTCGTAAACTTCGAGATTGTTTCAGACTGTGCTGCTAAGATTACGCGCGAATCCGGCTATGGCGGCCATAAGTAGATGAAGTTGAAATGCTAGAGGAGCATGCACTTAGTTTTAATTGAATCTAAAGAACACCACGTGGTCAAAATTTCTGGAGCTCACCGCTTTTGCGATTGGCATAATCATATCATAGTTTGAAGACGTAAAAACTGAAAAATTATTGATCAGATTACGTGCAGTATGTGTACTCTTTTTAATTTGCGAGCTTACGCATGCACCAGCGATAACGCTCAAATGTGTGATCACTGCTGTATAAATACAAGACGCGTGCTGCCTATGATAAGATTACCGAAGGCCGACGGCTCTGATTGCCGCTGTCAGAGCACAGCGTGCTTTCCTTGTACTTTGATATGTGGTGTTTAACGTCCCGAAACCATCATTTGATTAGGATAGACACCAACTTGTACTTTGAATTCTATTGTATTGTTACAGGGTGGTAGCTATGAAGAAAGTGACCATTACTGTCGTAGAAATAAAACTAATTAGCTAACTTGTGCCTGTAAAAGTAAGTAATTCAAAGTACAAGTATTACTTAGGTCTGAGGTGTTAATGAGGTGCACATGTTCTCTGGCTCATGGCAATTGATTGCACGTTAGTGAGTATTTAGATAACGACTGGTTTACGCTGGCAGATAAAAAGAATAAGAAAAGTAAGAGCAGCTTTATGCACTCTATGTAAGCTTGCCTGTATACACAATGCTCCACAAAAATGTCGCTACCGGCGTTATTGCTGCTGTATAGCGGTGATTTAGCATTGCTACACAATCTTTTGTAGAGAAGCTGAAACTGCACAGAGCTACTTGCGCCATCGTGTGAAGGCTTCTTATTGAAGCTTGTGTGAGATGACAATCCACTAGCTGGTCGGCAAACTCAGCAGCGACTCCCATCAATTACGGAAATAACAAGCAAGAGCCACTCTCAGCGAAGTGTTTACATATGTTTCCTGTGAAACAGCTAAATCAAACCCTAATACATTTTTCGGATATAAACTAAATTATTTTGTAATAAAACTTGTGAGGTACTAACAAAGATTTCACTAAAATGAAATTAGGCACATTTCAGAAGCTTTCAAGCCACCGTTTTTGTGCTTATGCGTTCATTACTATACTGGAGGGGTCAATAAGAACAAATTTGCGAATGTATCAAAGCATCTTGAAGGGCCCGTAAACCACCCAGAGGTCGAAATTCAGTTGTGGGGAAATTCTGCACGAGTGTATAACAAACACGGAGCCATGAGAATTTTTCAAAACGGTGCTGTAACAGCGGAGTTAGCCGCGTTTGATTATCCAAACTATGATAACCACACTTTTTGCTCTTTCCTGCGCTTCCCTCCGCTAGTATCATGGCCCACGCGCTTTGCCCTCTCACCGAGCACACCTCCCAATCTCGCGTGGCATACGTCATCGCTGAAGCGCTCATTCAAACACCGTCTACATCCGGTTGCTTCGTCACCAACCGTCGACTCCATCGGTTGCTTGTTGGCGAACCGTGGCTGCTGTAATCGTGCCGGTATGGAACTTGGGTTGCACACATGCCTTCAAAGGATCGGCAACGCGATGGATCCGTATGGCGACACGCCGTGCCCCGCACGTGTTACACGAACACAGGCATCACTACGAACAACAACTAGCAGCGGGGACAACTGCTTGCAGACTGACAGGAAGTCGTAGGCTCTTGCTCGACAGCATATTTGGCATATTTGGCTCGGCGCGCCAGAGATGTGACACGGCGTGTCACGTGGAAGCCCGAAAGGCCCAGAAAGGAGGAATGATAGTTTCTTGGAAATTGTGGCGCGACCGCGGCTTGTAACGCTACCACGTGCAGAATTGTTGATCGCGACAGT